AGAGAGTATCTTGACAGAGGCTTCAGTCAAGTCTTTTCAAAGGGTTTCTAGACAGATCAGATCATGACCTGCATCGCTACACACTCCACTTCCAGTCACTGGAAAATGAGCTAACAGCCTCCAGCCCATGCTGTGTATTGCAAATAGTGGTTATCTTTTTAGCTGGTAACTTCTAAAAAATTGTCATCAGGAGCACGCAGCAAAAGGGGGAATGCAATCACACTTTTTTAAAGCAAACACTTCCTCCTCTACTTCAGACCATAAAACTATACAGCTCCAACCTAATCCCCATAATCAGCTGCCCAGCCCTTTCCACTTTATTGGCTGCTTTGTGCAGTCAAAGCCAAATTGCCAAGGGGCAAAGGGTCAATCATTTGCGCTGCATCTGCTCCAGGCAGTGTTAGGACACAGGGTAGATATTTAGGGCTAGAACTAGTTAAATGCAGACTCAGAGCACTGAAAGCAGGGGTTGAGGAAGAAAAACAATCATGGCATAAAAGCACTGCAAACATGCAGAAAAAGTTGCATGGCTAGGCTATTGAGTGACAGCCAAAAGCCATCTCTTTGGTCCTTGGGATTTCTGGAGAGAGGGGAGGGGATGGCAGATACATGTGTGTGGGGAAGAGGTGGTGTTTATGAGGAGAAGCAAGGTAAATGAAGCTACCAGTTGTCTAGTAAGAGAGGGAAGAGCTGTTTCTTCACTTGCTGAGTTTGGGCCAAAAGGGAAGAGGAAGCAGAGCAGCATTTATAGGAGCACGGGGTCATTCTGTCCCTGGTAGCAAGAACCGGACAAGAGAGGTCTCATTTGAAAAGGTTCAGAAAACTTCTATTGCTTTCACTACAACAAAGAAGAGCAAACACCTGCAGCTACAATTCAGTGTTTTCAAAGAGGTAAGGAACTCTCAGTTCAAGCAACCCAATATCCCTCAGAAAAGGCTACAGGTGCAAGCATGGCTTTCTCCTACCCTTGTGCATATTGTTTCTGAAAGCCACACCATCCCAAATGTTTACCCTTCCTCTACATACCATGCAGGGATTAAAGCATTCAAGATTAAATTCCTAGAAATTCTCAGTTTCTCTGTAACATCATGCCAACTTCCGTAGAGATGCACCCGCCCAGCATCATCAGCATAAACACTCGTTGAACATAACCCATGACCCATATAAATTGCATTGGCTCACATTTATAGATGGGAGTGAAGGATTATAGAAAGCAGCAAACTTGGTGAGAAAAAGCAACTTACCCAGAGCTGGTGCCAATTTCAGCTCTAGTACTCAAAGGTTTTGTCCTAATCACCACGTTGGCAATGTGTATGTTGGCAGGGCTTGCAGAGGGTTGAGCAGATTTTTCTCCACTTCCTTTAACAAGCTATTAATCAAATGTTTCAATGTGAATATCAAACCAGAGAGAATGCGTGACCCAAACAGAAAAAGGGCTTGGGCAAGTGCCTGACTCCTACAGCTATTTAACATACAACAGGGTGGGTGTTTGGCATCTAACGCAAATATATCTGTGAGCCAGGATACTTAATACAAGTACACTTAAACACAAGGGGCCAGTTTTGCTATTACAGGAAAACAAAGGTGACTGCAGAGCAGGAAGCTGACACTGTAAAAACTTGCAGGCTCAAGCTGTCAGGGCAGATCTCCACAAAGGGCAGTGCAGGCACACTGAAGAACTGAGGCCTACTGCCTTCCTGTCACACAAGGGAGCTCTGTACTGGCCCTGGCTTGGCTCCTTGTTGTAACCAGAAGCAGAATACTTGCTTTGAGTTGGGAACATAGTGAGTTATATCTCGGGAAGAGGGAAAAGTCATCAGTCATGCTAGGAACTGTACAGAGGTGCTATGTACTATATGGTATACCCACCATCCAAAACGGGGTAGACAGGTCCCACCAAACTCAAGTACTTTTAAAAGCATAACACATAGCATAAAGTGAGCATAAAGATATTTACAGGAGATGTTGGAAGAAAGAGCACTTGGTCAAGAGAGGCATTATCCTGCACTGAACTACTTTCTGTACCAGGAGTTTTTACTTGCGCGAAGCACCTACATGCTGCTCGTGCTCGTTTCTCTGCTTCTATTAGGCTCACCCACAGGACAGCTGTTTCACGACATTAGTAAAGGTGTCACCCTGCTCTGTCATGGCTGGTAAGCAGAGCAGCTGGAAGATCAGAATCAGGAGTCTGGGGTATGCTCATACTGCATGATGCAGCACCTGAGAGCTACCTACAGACACTCCTAAATAAAACAAATAAACAAACATTAGAGCACTCCAGCTCTGGGATTTGGTCCATGGCTCAATCTATAGCTGAACTAAAATAAAACTGAACTAGATTTTTAATGGTTCCTAAACTTGCAAACTTCCAAGTAAACCCATCTGCATAGATCAGCCAGCCTTCCCTTTGATGAGTCCTCATGACATGCCTCATTGTAGCTTTGCCAAGGCACTGCATGGATTATACAAAGTGCAGAGAAATGAACAAAATTGCCCACTTATAGCTGCAGAACAGATTGCAGGATTGTCATATCTTAGCTATCTCAGTAGCAAAAGCACGGAAGGGAAAATGAGATCAAAAGGAATGCTAATCTTTTTTTCTAGTGCATATTACCCTCTCCCTTCCCCAAATGGCAGTAAAACTGATCAGTTGCATCTTCATTATTGTTATTAGAAAAAGAAAAGGCAAGAATAAGTCATCCATGAACCACTTTTTCAAAGTTTGATATAGTATTGTATGCTGTTGCCAAGCTTGATCAATAAAAAGTTGAAATTTCTCCCCCTCTTCCCTGCAGCACAGATTGTTCATTGAAGATGCTCCTAAGTAATAGAGCAGGATTAGAGACTTATTCACCAAGACAGAGAGAATTTGGCCACAAGTGTTTGTCTTGTGTAACCAACAAGATGCAAAATGACAATGCTGGAAAAGGCAGAGCAGAATCTCCCCCACAAGCACACTGCTGGGAAATACTCCATTACTCTAGCAGAAGTTTACTTTGGTTGAACTTCAGTTAAACTTGAACCTGGTGTTTTGAAGGACTGAGTATTTTTGCCTGATAGCTGCTTGGTAGCTGGTAGGCAACGCTTACTCCTGTCATCACAGTTTATACCAGTACTGGCTCTCATTGCCAACCAAGAAGCATCTTTACCAAAATGTCCCTGACTTCACAGGATGGCACTTTATTTCCACACCTCCCATTTGATGGCTTCCAGAGATGTTTTCCCCTTACCACTGTGAAAAATTATGGACAGCAGAAGCATCACAAAAAAAAAAAGCAAAGGCTAGAACTAACAACTAAAAACCAAAACACAGCCATGTGAACCACAGTCTTTTCCACATGTAACTTGCACCAACTTCCCCCATTCTTGGTCTCACCCTGTTTTTCCTTATCTTGGCCCAGCAAACAGTAGAACACAATTGCTCAGTAGATAAACAGGCTCCCATTAGGTCGAGATACAGCCAGTTCCCATACAATGCCTAGGAAAGTAAGGCTGTGTTTAATGGCAGCCCAACTTGGCAGTTCTGAAAGAAATGTGCGTCAACGCAAATGAAATCTGCAAACCCTGCCCAAGTGTTGGTGTAAAAGCAAATAATCCCAAAGGCTGCTCACAGAAGCATTCCATATTCTCACCAGGCTGTCCATAGATGACATCCAGCCACCTTTCAGGCCAGTAGTTCCCTACATACGTAGTTAAAGTGTGCCTGAGAGGAAGGAACAACAAATTTGAATGGCTATAGGAACTGAGCACATAACTAGACACCTTTGAAAATCAGGGATTTCAATCATTTCCATGGTGAAACAGCAGCAAAAGTGAGAACAAAAGTAAAACCCTATGCATCTCAAGTACCAGAAATAAGTAAGGTTCACAAGAATTGGAAATAAGAGTAAAAGACAGCCTGTCTGGTAACTTTAGATCAAAGAGTGAGCATGTTCAGGTATTTTTGGATACTGGTATACGTCTCAGATTCTAATCATTAATTTTGGAAAGGGCAATGAAGAAAACATTTAAGAGCTCAAAGTCTTAATACCTTGTGCAAAGTCTCATGGGCTTGTAAGTAGTGTGACAGATGTTTTTCTTTTAATAGTAAGCAATACAAAAGCAAGGGATGCTTTTGCACTGGTCTGTGCCCACAAAGGGTGAGCAGAGTCTGGCTGGATTATTGTTCATAGTTTAATTTTGAGGAAGAGTAAAATGTAACATAACAGAAGGCCCGGTGATGTTATCTACCATGTAGACCACCTGCTTTCTTTAGTGTTTACGCTTTAAAATACTGATATATGAAGGGCTTTGGCTCCTGCTCAAGTCACTAGCTATTTAAGGAGAATCTTTAAATTCATGATGAATATGCAAAGGTATGAAAGCCCTGTTAACCAGCACTTTCAAACAGAGCACTACTCCCCATTTCCCCCAGTCCTGTTTATTCAGATACTATTCATTTACTGGACAGGAAATGTACTTAAGCTGTTTATCACCTCACTTCCAGGTAATGAAAACACAAGTTCAAATTCTGCCATTCCCAAGATGTTTAGGCAAAGCCCCTGAGGACAGGGGGGCTCTGTTTTCTTGCATTTGCATAGCCCTTAAACGAAGGGGTGTAAATGTCAACTACTGTTTGTGAGCACTCCTCCAGTAAAAGTGTTAGCAGCAGCAACAACAGATATTTTTGTTATGTTAAACCCCCAAAGTGTTTCCAGTCTTTCAACATCAATCAGCACAACCGAAGCCAGTAGTAAATTGATTCTCACATTCCACTGGTGCCAGTTTTTGTTAGAAATGATTTGTGATAGATATAGTGGAATATATTGATTAGTACTGACAGTCCCAGTTTCCCAGGCGCTTTGTAGAGCTGCCATTCCAAACTGACCTGCTTTCCACCTTGTCAATTTTCTTCTGCAGTGGCCGTTATAAATATCTACTCTATTATGAGATAGATTTAATCCCCTCCAGAAAACAAAACAAAAAGGGTCAGGCAAGTAAAATCAGTACAATAAAATAGGTTTGCAGTGTTCCAAAAGAATTTGTTTTTATTGAGAAATTTTTGTGTCAGGGGAAGAAAAGGCACAAAATAAGTTACAAAGACATTATATGAAATGTATGAGTCAGAGGCAGTCTCAGAGCTGTTACAAGTCACCTAAAAGTTGGCTTTCCAACATAGATTAGCCTCTACAAAAATATTACAAGAATAAGTTTATTTCAAATGATCAAAATCATTCAGAAATTAACTGAGAACAAACACCAGCAATATTAAATTTTGACTAAATTCACCTGGGTTTACCATTATCTACCTCCCTAACTTGGAAGAAATATATCACTGGAAAATATGTAATATTACAGGATAACTTTTTTTTTTCTTTTCTTTAAGCAACACATTTTATAAAATAAAACCCTGATAGTTACCTTTTGTTCCTCCAGTGAAGTACAGTACACATGGGTAAGGCAGTATGCATAGGAATTACATCAAGAAAACAAAATAGGTAAGTGCAATTAACCTAAATACTTCTACATTTGTCACTATGGTCCCTCCCCTAGTGCAAAGAATATCTTAAAAAGAGATGGACCCAACAGCTGTTCACAGAATACATGAAAATACCACCATAAAAGGTCTGTTGTAGAAAAGCCTTTGTTTTCAGTTGTGACTTCTCAGACCATGTACTCTTAACACACAGATTTTTCATCAGTACAACTCTGAATTAAAAACAGCACACTAATACAGTTAAAGTACCTTGAAATTTCTCAGTCCTCATTTCAATGTCAGAAGGCTAATAACACTCAGCATTCAACTCATCCAAATTAAATATATAAAAATACACGCACCAGCTATGTACAACTTATTTCACTACTGCAAACAAAAATCAATTCCCTGTATTCCCACTTTCCCATTACTCAGCTCTGAGCTGACCATGACTTTTTTTTTTTTTTTTTTTAACTGTTGGTTCAAGCTGAACCGTGGAATAAGGAAAGTTTACGAGGCCTACAAGATAGAGACTATAGAAAGATTTGATTTCATGATGATGAAGGCTTGAGCAGAAATAAAGAAGTTTACCCCTTTGGCTGCTCCTCTGGTTAAATGGAGACCTAAGATCTGTCTTCTGAAATCACTGAGGATACAAACATGTCACCAGACACAGAACTTGGCAATAAGTGTCTGATTTTATCCTTAGGAATTTAATTTACTTGACCTAAGACAACAGTAACACAAGGGGAATACAGTACCACGTTCTGCTCACAGAAACTGTCAGCCCTGCAAGGCCTCGATTCACAAGGAAACCTTGTACTGTAATGCATTAGACATATCTGTCAGGGTTTTGGTAGTGGAGGGGTGGCAGGGTGTCCTCTGTGGGAGGAGGTCAGGGACTGTCTTGTGCTGGTCCAAGCAACAGGCAGCACGGCAATCACACAATGGCTGAGGTTGGAAGGGACCTCTGGGGATTATCTTGTCCCACCTCCCTGCTGAAGCAGGGTCACTGAGAGCAGATTGCCCAGACCTTATCCCAGATGGCTTCTGAACATCGCCAAGGACTCCACAACCTCCCTGGGTAACCTGTGTCAGTCATCCTCACAGTAAAAAAGTGTTTCTCTGTGCTCACAGATCCTCCTGCCTTCAGTTTGTGCCCATTGCCTCCTAGGGACAGGGGGCACTGACCCACTGCACCCCAACACTGTGGCCAGTCAGAGTCTGGCACATCTGCAAAAGCTTATTTAAAAAGGGCAGTAAATGCCAAGAGAATGTTATAGAAGGAGGAGGAGAAAAAGAGAGGACCATGTCAGTGCAGGAGGAGGGGAGAGGGTAGACAGCTAAGTAGGAAAAATGCCAAAGCAAAAGGTAGCCTGAGCAGGGGCTGAGAGGAGACTCAAAGAGACTGCAGCCAGTGAAGAAACCCACACCAGAGCATCTGGGTAAGAAACAAGGAGCAATGAAAAAACAGCAAGCCCAATGTGCTCATCTCCTGGACCACCTGCTGCCTTGCTGAAGGGCCGGAGAGTAATAGCCAAAGGATTGGAGACACCCCCCAGAACAGCAGTTAAAAACACCTTAATTGGCAGTAAATTAAATTGATTAAAAATCCCCAACTCAAAACTTGTTGCAGGCAAGAAAATCTCCTCAACTGAGGTTAGTGTAAGAGTAAGGGCTTTCTGGCCTTCCAAAAAGCAAACAGTACACACAAGCGAACCCATAATCTAAGGGTATAATTTTTCATCTCCTTCAAATTTATAAGTTAAAGGCTTTTTAAATTTATTTTTAAGTATAACTTTAAAACCTACAAATCTTCCCTCTGTTTAAACCATGGATTACTACATAAATAAAAAATGGAAATTTCATAGTTTCCTAAAAATCAATTAAATAAGAAATTGACAAAAAAAAATTAACATAAGGAGGTAGTTTAAAAAACAAAATAACCAGATACAAAAAGGAAAGGTAGTGCAATAGACGCATTCATATGAAAAATAGACTTTTGGTTTCTATGTGACATTCAAATTTTTAACAAGAAAAAAAGAAAATCTGTATTACTTTGGGGAGTGAGGAGCAGCTAGTATTCAAAACCAGTCATTTAGAGGCATACTAGAAGCCACAGCAACCACGATAAATACTTTTATTACAACTCACTCAGTCATCTGCTCTACATAATAACACTTTTAATCAGTTTGCAACACATTTTTCCTGCAAACTGCTATCAGAAATGCCTGCCTCCCAATCAAATTTCCATCATTTTAAAACGTTTTATTTGAACACAGAGGCACCAGATGCTTCTACCAGGCCATCCTTAAGGAAATAAAACTGCTTCAGTATTGACATCAAAGATTTTCGTAATGCCATACTTTTTGCCTGCTGAAGCAGGTATAATGTAAGCACCTCAGGTGTGGTGGTAGGCACCAACTTGTATGCGAAAGACCTCCTCCCTCTACAAACCTTTTGTAAATGAGGATGAACAAATAGTTACTTAAACATAAGCTTACTGAACAATGGGAGGACCCTGACACCTCATGGTCTCACTTCATTCTGCACATGCAGCGGGGACCACAAATTACTTCTTTCAAACCACTTTTGATGGCAGCCACCTCCTGCTACACAAGCTTTTACCAACTTGCCTATTTGCTGGCAAACAATCGGCCATGATAGGCATCAAATTTTGTAGTTGTAACAGGGAGTTAAAGCTCTGGACGTTATACTTAGCAAGGCTTCAAACTGTGGTTTTTATAAAAATCTGCTACATTCTGTGAAGCTCCAGACAAGTCATTATTAGCAATGCTAATTTGTCAGGCTGATTAATGAACTAAAATTCAATGTGTAGTTTTGACCAGGTTTTATCAGTCTTTGAGAATGAGCTTTGGCATTTGCAACTCAGGAGCAAACAGGCTCTGCGGAGTTCTCTAATGGCCACATGGTGTAGGTTCTGCATGTTCTACAAATCCTACACTTCTTTTCCCCCAGAAATAACCTACTTAAGTAGCTTCAGTAACTGAGCAATGGAAGACAAGCAAACAAAGGTAACTCTGTCCCTAAACCTCTGGAGATGCTTGTAAATACCAGTTTTAGCCAGTTGTATGGAATAATTCCACATAAACAAAGCTAGAACTAGTTTTGGACCACTGCTTTCCAGCAAAAGCTGTCTTTGGCACTTACATCATCCAATTCTATGATGTTACTTTAAACATAGTCCCCATATCAAGTTGATTGAGGAAATTAAAAAGCTTTTTATAAAACAGGCATTTGCAATAAACTAAAACAGAAAAAATCCACTACCTATTAGGCAAGAGCTTTCTTCAAGATGACAGAAGAAGCCAGTAGTACCAAAAAAGATGAGAAAGTTCAGTAAATGCAGACTGCCAGGACGAAAATTTTATACAGCTCTATTAGACTTAAATAACTGTAGCACCAGGATAATCTCAAGGTTACCACAAACTGCAAAAGGCATTATAAATACATGGCATGAAAACAATCTGTAGAAATTCATTCACCCTCCATTCTGCACTTGGAGGTTTCCTTATGTTGGTCTTTCCTCCACATGATACATCCCATAGCAAGATACAAACAATGAGACTCAAAATACAGCTATGCTCAAGTCTCCTGTTTGGTAAACAGCTAAATATAGACATTTCTGACACAGGCACTGAGTGTCAGGACAGACTGACTTCTACCTTCAGATGACAGTACTGCTCATAGGCTTTTCTGACATATTTACTGCCAGGCTCACAATCTGTATGCACAAATGCCTAGATTCAGATGTGTTTCAAAGAGCATGATTAAAGAAGCTTTAAGAGTGGAGGAAAAAGCATAATTAGCACACCACCCTTCAGCTGAAACAAGATACTGACCAAAACTACATTTGGAGATTATGCAGAAAACTCTTGTTCATGAGTTTTAGCTCAATGTTTCCATCAGCATGCTCCAGGAAAAGACTTTGTTCCTCGTTTTCCCTTCTTCTTCAGTACAAAAAAATATCTCTCGCATAATGTTTTGACATGCTTAGATGAAATGTGCTGGAAAACATACAGATAAACTGTTTTTCCCACAGTCCTGTGAGGAATATTCCACTAACCTCAGTACAGCCATGCAGCCTGGAAACCCTGTCACAGAGTATGTCATGATCTGCACTGGGAGCAGATCAGCATGTGGCTACAATCCCTACAAACTGGGCTGTAACAAAAGGTGGCAACTAGCTACAACCTGCCCCATGTTAATTATATCTCTTTGGAGTCACCTGTGGCCCTCCTTTAACACAGACCTTCTGAATTTGGGGTTATCTCCAAATCTCAGTTTATGAGCAACTTCCAGTCCCTAAAAGGTGAGTACTAGGCTTGTTTTCAGGGGATCTTTTTTTAAAAAAAAACAAACAAACAACAACAACAAAAAAAAACATCAAATCACTTCCTTGTTCTATTTTTTCCAGGTAACAAAAATAGTCAGGTAGTAAAATCCTTTTAGAAGTATCACTACACAAGAAGTTTGGTGACAAGCCTGGATAAAATGCTCCTAATTTTCCTGTCTTTCTAAGGTGAAGCTAGTGTCTTAAGTGATGCCCAGTTATGTAATATTCTCCATCAGAGGGCTTTACAAATTTCAGTAATTTTAATCATAAGCCATCAAATACAAAAGCTGAGTCTGCCACACATCACTTTGATCAAAAGTAGTGTTTTTATCATTAAAGCAGCCACGCTAAACAAAGTTGACATTAGATGGAAGTGATGAAACCAGTGTCCCTAACAGGACATCCTGGAACCAACGCTAGCTCTGAAAGGAGCTTCTAGTCAACACAAACAGCAAGAAGAGTATTTTAACAGCTAGTATCCCATACTTCTTACCCTTGCCCTAAAGCATTTCTGTTGAATCCTCTATTCTTTCAACTCCCTCTGACAAATTCTCCTCTATGCTGTCTCACATGACTTGTCACTCCCCTTCACTCCTAGCTGTACTCAGGTTTCACCTGTGAGCTCCTCAGACAACAGAATTCCAATTCTGTCTCAGGTGAGACACGCTTAGATGTAACTAATCAGCACCTCTCTCATCTCTAGCACAATCTAAGTCAGTTGGCTGAAAAAGAAAAAAAACAAACAAAACAAACAAAAACAAAAACAACTGCAAAACCTAAGGAATCCAAGGAAGGAATTACCATCTTGGAGGTCAGTATCCTAGTGCTTGCACATCACAAAAAACTATTAACGAGGCAGAATACTTAATATACAAGGCTACTCTAACAAGTGTGAAACAAGATTGTCACGCTTCACTCAACTACAGCAAAAATATTGTTTCAGACTCTTAGCATTACTATACATCATAAACATATATAACTAGTGCTGCATCAGTTCCCCAGTAGCTCCACAGGGCAAACTTACTGCCCAAACACAGATTTTTAAATGGGCCTATGCAGACTGCTTAAATACAAACTTTAAATATATATATATAAATATAATCACCAATATATACATAACCATTTAAATATAAAGCCACAAGCGCCCTGACCTTCTGACTTGGGCTTGTAAGTAACATAGTTGTGAAACCTGTAACAGCAAGCACTGTCTGATTAAAGAACTTCTGCTTAGCAATAACGTTCCACCTGTGTACAGAAAAATGCTGACCACATGGGCTACAAAACACTGCACAGCATCTCTCCCCAGCAAAAGCTACATATAGCACGAGTATCTCAGTAACACTCCCTGGGAAGACAAAAAGTGATCCTACAGATTCCTATATCAGAAGGCCAGTTTTATAAAATAAAGCTCTGAAAAATTATATGCGTCTAACTGATTTGGACTTGAGGACACAAAGGAGGGCAGCAAGTGATCATAGCAAATCTGATGCTACGTAGCTGATCTCCAGGAGCGATTCCTTCCTATAAAACTGCTGAATTGATTGGTCCAGAAGATATAACAACAGAAAACCCCTACAATTGACAAAAAAAAAAAAAGCTACCTTTTAAAATTCCATAGGTGCAAACATGGGACAGATTTGAAGTTTGAAAAAGTGCAATTTTTATGAAAAAATGAAGATATTTTCTTCACTCTTGTTTTGGCAATTTTACCTCTGTATTTAGGATATAAAAGTGCATGAATAGAAAGGTAAGTTTGATTATAAATTGAAGACTGTCATAAAATCCAGCTCAGGTCCTGCAATGATCTCTCAACCTGAACAGTTACACCCTACTGTTCTAATGAAAGCTACATTGAGGTGTCCTATGGCATGACCAGGATCTCCAGTAGCTGGTGACACTAAAACTATGGAGGGAGGAAGGCTAACAGTTCCTGTCTGCTTTTCAAGGAACTTAACTCTACCAACTATCCAAGGAGGGACAATAAGTATCAGTATCACCCCTGGCCTCCAAACAAACAAAAAAGTTGAATCTTGACAGCAAGGTGATACTGACAGGCTTATCACCATTTGCCTTTAACTAAACAGGGTTTATATCTTTAGAAATCAAACACCAAAACCAGTTACTTTTTCCAGCTGTCCATACTTCAAAACATGAATGCAAAATTATCTGTGAACACATTTAAACACTCCAAGAATTTCCAAGTACCTTATTTTGAGCAATTTTCTTGCATACAGAACAGCCAAATAAGGCAGAAAGAATATCCAACTAGGTTTAAAGGTGCCCTCCTACATCTACAACAAATATGCAACAATCTGGAAGAAAAAGTGAAGACTGTAAACTGGAATTCTTCAAGTAAAGCTCCTAACAGGCAAAAATCACAATACTGACACCTTGTGCACTGGGAGTAAAGTTCCCTGCTTTGCTCACAGGCAATGCCTAGACCAAGTTCTGATCAACTGGGAGTAGTGCATGCTTGAATCTGTAGCATAGTTGGCCTTTGCTCAGTACTACAGTTCCCCATGAACAAAGTTCAAGCAGCTAGCTGTAAACTTCAGATACTGTTTAGTTTCACTTCCTTTCAGAGTAAATGAATTTTCCAGTTTAACTGGCATAAATTCAGCAGACAGCTTTTCTCTCTCTATTTATTTATTTTTTTAAATCCAGCTCTCACAGAAATGGCTAGCAAGGCTGGCAACTTACTTGCAGTCACTGTGCAGCAGGCACTTCACTAGGAACTCCAAGTATAAAAGCTATTAAATAGTTTAAGGAAACCAATCTTAATAAATAGCAAGCCACAGGTTAGAGAATGAAGATGATAGTGTAATCAAGAAGGCTGAATCTTCCTAAGGCCTCGCTGTTGTAGTCACAACATTTCCTTTGTTCATATTTCAAGATTCCTTCTAACGAAGAAGCTCAGTGTAAACAGGAGAATGAAGTTGTCTTCCTCAGCAAGGTCAAGTAATCAAGTAAACGCTGGCTTAGAGTTTCAAAACTTTATCAAACATAAAAAAAATACATAGATTCTAGCAGCTTCCTGGCAATAATCCTACAAAATGTAATAGCAGCCCACAGTTTCTCTTATCACTTCAGAGTTGAGTTTCCTCCAGAAATAAAAACACAAATCGGTCCACATAAATGAGCTACATATTCTAACACACACCTTACACAGTATGTGATAAACACCTCAGCTGTGTCCCATTCATGAAATTATATCCTTTAGCAGATTTACTTCACTGAACAGGCAGAGAAGTTGCTGAGCTTCAGTATTTATGGCAAAGTGAGGACAAAGTTAAAGTAGGCAAAGCTATGGAACAGCAGTTTTAAGATGTGAGGAACATGTGGCAAATTTATGCATAAGACAGCCCAAGAAAATGTTTGGTGGATTAAAAGGTGAGAGAAACCAGCAACATCCTCTATGTCTGCAGACTTTGTGGCTGCTCTTTCCAGAAGTCCCTTCTTCCAGCCTTCCATCATCACAAAGTTCGCACACAGATCATGACTAACCAGCTGCACCCTGTAACTCTGTACAGGTGTTCGTGTACAGAAAGAGACACCGTATGTTCACAGTTGCCTCTCTGCAACTCAATATGTGGAACCCATTTTAACATAAAATTTCTAGAGTTTGCTCCCACTGGGGTAGCACACAGCACAGTGTGACCCCTTTCACTCTACCAAAGCAAAGCAGTGGACATTTTCAAATTTATCAATATATGCTGACTCAAAACCAAGCACCTTGAAAAGAAAATGTGTATGCTGATGATCTGCCCAAATGGTGGATAATTTCCTAGGCTTCAGAAGTGCATCATCCTTCCCTTGCTCTCTCACCTGGCTTCAAATGTAAACTGTGCATTCTTATTCTGGCCTACAAGAATTTGAATGGCTGTCTCGTATGAAGAGTATCAGTGGTGTAATTAATCTGAACAGTACTCAAGCTCCAAGCTCTTCTCCTAGTCAGGAAAGACAAAGGCATTTGCCCAGTTACATTCCCTGACAGATGGTCCCCAGTACTCTCGTCTTAGAGCTGGACTGACTGGACAAGTAAGAAAAGGTATGAAAACAGGTCAGTGTTCCTTCTTTTCATTACTTGATCATATGGGTCTCTTCATCAGCATCATAAAACTCCTCATCTTCACTTCCACTTCCTGCAGAATTGTCCTTGTCTCCAGACTAGAAAGAAAAATGAAGTAATTGGTTAACGTAGAAGCCATCAAATCAATCTGAAAATATTAGAGCATGAACCATTATACATATGCTGGAATGCTGATAGAGAAAAAGAAAAGGCAGGGCAAATCACTATTAACACTTTGTGAATTGTTTGTGCTCTTGGTTTTGCAAAAATCTCTTGGAAAGAGCCCAACTGGATGGAATTCCCTTGGTTCTACTGATGGAGCCAACATCAGTACACTAGAGACAGTACAGACAGGAGAGAAAACAGGGCAGGCACGCTCAGAACACAACGATTAATTGAGGATGGAAAAACTTACTTAATCAAGTACTACTTCATGTGTAGTGTGTGCATTTTATTATGCAAATTTAATTTAAAAAGATCCCCTTCTAGTTCTAATCAAAGGTGTTATGGAAAAAGGAAAAAAAACCATTACCAGTTATAATGTGCAGAAACTAAACTCTTTGATACAGACATGTTTAGTCCACCAGCGTCCTTCCAGCAACATAATTTACACCATATATCCAAACTGAAGTCAGCTATTATAGCTAATTGATTTTTATTTGGTCAGAAATTTAATTTTTCCATGAAAACAATGTGGACTATCCAAGTTAAAGAGAGTCCATTGCCAGTATGAATTCCTTTTAGCTTAAATGAGTATTTCGGATTTTTTCCAGTATGCTTACATCCATTTTAAGACTTCTGTCTGCCTAATCATATGCAAAGAAGGGTGAGAGGGAAGGTGAAAAATAGAAAAATGGAAATCATATTCCTGACTGACAGAACCACACAAGCAAAATCTGTATCTTTAGATCTGTCTTCAGTGGAGATTTGCTACAGCAATGTGCGTTAACTGCAAAAGAATTTCAAACAGTTTGAGCTCTAGGAACTGTCAGAAGATATAAAGGGAATCATGTTACGCTTTTCTCTGAATTTCTAAAATTATTTGAGGAGAGTCAGATTATCACTGGATGCTGTCCAACTTGAATATCACATTCATGTATGTTAACAGGGACAAAACATCCATTTCAGGCAACCAGAATGCATGTTATCCTGAAAGTGGTACAAAAGGACAATGGATTCCACAGGGGAAATTCAGGGTATGCCAAATAAATTCTACAGCTTTCTTACAGCGGCTTCATAAGACCTCTCCATGGCCTTGTCAAATAGGGCTAATGTTTAACAGCTTTCCATTTTATCAGCGCTTTCTTTGTTGTAGCTTTAAAATAAATCCTTAATGTGCCACAGACATTCCAGATACAACTTTACTGAAGTTACAGTATTACTCAGGTATTACTCCAATACTGGAGTGAATGCAAAAAAAATTCTGGAGTGAATGCACAGGTATTACTCCAATACTTACAGTATTACTCCAAGTTGGGTGCACATTGATAGATAGATGCATAACTGGTTACACACCTAAGGGTGATACTGACCTTACTTGGTTAAAAGGGAAAAGCTTGATTTTTCTCTCCTCTGAGTTAAAATAACTGCATTGTTTGCTAGAATTGCTTTTTGTTAGTAAGCCCTCTGCAGTGTTAAGATGTAATAATAATGTAATTACCAAAATAATAGCTGGTATAAACTTGATGTAAAGGTATATGACGGATTTGTGTTGGCAGCAAGAATATGAAGCCATAACAAGTTACCCAGTATGGTTAAAGATGTTTATATAATGTGCGTGTCAAGTATCAAATTAATGGTTACAGGTCTACCTCTTTCAAGCTTTCTTCAAGGGGGCTTTTGATACTAAACTGCTGTCCTTTCAAGAATTATTAAAGCTGAATTTGGTAAATAAGGCAACGTGTTGAAGCCTGTCAAAGGAAGAAACTGTTCTGATTCTACAAGTTAGTTTTACTCTGCCTCCTAATTCCTGTAAAAATAAATCTAAATTTATATAGAATCTAAATCTGCAAATCTCAGACTGCTTTACTAAAAATTAAGTAACTGAAAGTAAAAGCTTTATACAGATCCTGTCTCGTATCAACCTAACAGGACAAGCAACATTTTGATATGAAAAGAGCTGCCCTTCAAGTCTTCTGACTACTTCAGTTTTTACTCATCCACTGATACTTCGAATTCTGAGACCAGAATTTTTGAGACCAGGATTTAGACATGAAGATAATACCCACATGTAAACAGTAAACACTTACTAACTTCTAGCTACTTCTCTCTAATCCCACACCATTCACAGAAGAACAAAGTAAAAAAAACCTCTACAGGACAGGAAAAATAGATCCATCTTAATTTTGTCAAACTCCTAGACACTTCTTAAGTTTAAAGTGAAGTGACAAACACACAGTCAAGGAGACTTCACTGAAAAACGTTTTAAATAAAGTATTAATAAAGTATTTAAAATATTTTAATAGTTTTAATAGTTTTAAAAATAGTTTTATAGTTTAAAATAAAGTATTAAAATAAAGTATTAATAAAGTAGTATTTCTTTATGCTTATACCTGGTAGTTTTGCAGTTCCAACATACTCGGCTAATCTCATTTCCCAGACTCAACAGTGAGAGAGATCTTAAATTACTCTATCTTTAACCCTTTTAAACCCTCTCTTGGGCAGACCCAACAACTGACGCTGTAGAACAGCCAGCGCAGGTCAGAACAGAAGTGCAGCGTGCTGCCTTTGAGAAATGCCCATGACAAATGGATGTCTCAAAACCTTCAATGGCCAGCTTCATACAAAGGCATGCTGCAGGAATCCATCTTAGATTACAGAGGCACAGATATCACCAAGGCCTTTATCCCAAAGGAAAACAACTGTAAGTTTCTGGGCTTGAAGGGATAAACTAACCCAGCTATGTTTCACCCTGCATTCCCATGGAACATTTCAGATGTGACGGTAAAGTTAGTAAACCATCTCCTGTATCTCCTTGGGACCTATCCTCCACAGGCCAAGAATCACTTTCCTAGTGTATTTAGAGTGGCATATTTGAACTGACAACTGAAATAAATATGACAGATAAATACAAGGGAAAAAAAAATAAAGAATATACCTGTGAGCCATCTAGGGCTTGCAATGACATGGCTTCATCCCCCAGCCTCCAGTACGAGCACACCTGCAGGTCTGAAATCGTTTCTAGCAAAGGGCTGTTTAATGTCTCCGGCAACAATAAACTTAGGAGCCCAGACAAAAGACCAGTTGCTCCAAACACAATGTAAGGCAGAGACCACTGTACAGATTTCTGTAAACGAGAGCAGAAAGAGAGAGTTAAGTAGAGGTTAATGTAGCTCCTACTGCTTATTTAGTCAACCTTTACAATCATTTCACGTGGCAGCAATGATGAAATTAAAGTTTTCAGGAATGTAATGAATTCTTAACTTTGAAACCTTGAGTTCATATTCAACTCAACTAAGCTGAACATGAGCCAACACTGTGCCTGTGCTACAAAGAAGGCTAGTAGTATCCTGGATTGAGGGAGATGTTCCTTTCCCTCTAACTCGGCACTGGTGAGGCCACACCTGGACTCCTGTGTCCAGTTCTGAGCTCTCCAGTGTAAGAGATGAGGACATACTAGAAAGAGCCCAGCAGAGGGCCACAAATGTGCTAAATGTACCGAAGCATTTCACATATGAGGAATAGCTGAGAAGGCAGGGTCTGTTTAGCCTAGAGAAAGCTTAGAGGGGATCTTATTAATGTATACAAATACCTGCAGGGAGGATGCAAAGAGAACGGAGCCAGGCTCCTTCCAGTGGTGCCCAGTGATGGGGCAAGCATCAGTGGGCACAAACAGAAACCCAGAAGGTTCCATCTGAGCATAGGGAAACACTCGTACTATGAGGGTGACTGAGCACCAGCAAGAGGTGTGGCCAGCAGGTCAAGGGAGCTGATTTTCCTTCTCTTCTCAGTTCTTGTGAGACCCCATCTGGAGTACTACGTTCAGCTCTGGGGCCTCCAGCACAAGAAAGACACAGGCCTATTAGAGCAAGTCCAGAGGAGGGCCATCAAGGGTGATCAAAGGGCTGAAGCACCTCTCTTATGAAGGCAGGCTGAGGGAGTTGGGGTTATTCAGCCTGGAGAAGAGAAGGCTCTGGGGAGACCTTATAGTGGCCTTCCAGTACCTAAAGGGGCCCTACAGGAAAGCTGGGGAGGGACACTGCAGGCAGTATTGGATGAAGCTTTGAGCAACCTACTTGAGTGGAAAGTGTCCCTGCCCATGACGGAGGGGGGTGGTGTTCATAATTACCTGATCTTTAAGGCACCTTCCAACCCAAACTGTTCTATGATTCTACAGAGAAATTTAACTTTATCCTAGACAAAACTATCAGAGCCACACAGATTTTGAGATGGACTTTAAAAGGAATGCCTGCTGAATCCATACTCAATTCTTATCCATAAAGCATACTTTTTAAACAAAGGCAACACCACTTCGTAACACACAATCAAAGATGTGTTGGTTAGAAGAGATCTCTGGACAACATCTAGCCTAACCACCAATTCAAAGCAGGGCTACAACCAACACTATACCAGGCTACACAAAGCTATGGTTGACCAAGTATTGAAAAACACCAGAGATGGAGATTCCACCCCTTGAGCAGGCTGTTCTAGGGATACACTAAGCCTCTCTCTCTCAGGAAAAAAGGTTTTCCAAGTTTCTTTTGTCTGTAACCATCAAATCACAATTTAGCTGTTTTAGAACACTCATCCCCAGACAAAAGCTACTGAAAAATGCATTAAAATAATTGAAGAAACTCTAAATAAAAATAATTCATTCCTCAAATCAATGTTGATTTGTTCTTTAAACACACCTATTTTGACTATCATTGGACACCTTCAAAACAAAATGATCCAAGATTTGTCTTCTTCAGTGACAAACCTCCACTAGATAAAACAAAATGGATGCCCTGACTGCTACATAAAAGCAGTACATTAGCTTTGCCTGGGAGTCTTGCACCTGCCTTGTCTTTGCCTTTTGTACCCCAGAGATGCTGCACTCTCACCTGCCTATGTCATTCTACAGAACAAAAGGTCCAATGTGCTCATTTACCCTTTGATCTTGATATCTTGATGCAGTTATTCTTTTAACCACCTTTTCTGTTTGTTATTCTATGCTTATTGTTTAAAATAGGAATCATCAATTTGTTATTTTCAAATGACAATATTGCTGAGGTCCACTGTAAGTCCCAAAATTCTTATACGACTAAAATATTTTCTGAACTAAATACTGGGATTTTCTAATTACAGATTACATCCTAATGTCTTTAGTCTACCATGATACTGCCAAGACATACAATATACAGATGTTAGCTTATATAATTTACCCCAAATAATCCCACTTCTGCAAGCTTCTGATGCATCAGAGCCACAGAACAAAAATATTTAAAACAGTGAGAAGTTCAGACAAACCAATGAAGGGACAAAAGGAGCAATGATTCCACCAACACGGGAAAACATGGAGCAGGCACCCATTCCAACATTCCTAAGAAAAAAGCAAAAATCATTAATCAGTGACATTTGTATAGGATGAGCTAGGACTTTAGAAGGGTTAGAAGTTGCAAGTGCAAGAAAGGACTTAATCAGCCAGAAGCCTCAGTCATGACCCTGACCTCATTAACTGGCAACAAAAAGTGAAATGCAACTGAAAACATCTGAAGACAGGAATTAAAACATCAAAACATACGACCGGAGAGAAGCACAAATACCCTGCAAATTCAGATTTCTAACATATGTCCACATGTAAAGAGACAAAGCGTGATTTCAGTCAACACATCTCATCTCTGCCTGAAATTTTGGCTGAATTCCTCTATCCAAATCAGCTGATCTGCCCACTCACAAGAAAAACACCATAGGACTGGTTTCAATCCCATATAATAGGTGCTTTTTTTCTACTTGGTCACCACAAGCACAGGGCAATTCTTCCTCTGTATCATCAAGTTACTTTTATAAAGCTTATTGACAGGTCATCTGCAGCATTGTTGGTTAACCAAGGATGAACATTTAAGAGATGTCTGGTTTATAAAGCAGTGAGAAACCTACAGATATCACTCATTAAAAAGAATGATAAACAATTGTATTGTTATCCTCACAAGTGGAGAGAGGGCTGTGAGCATACCAAGCATCCAAGAGGGTTATTTTTACTGTTACAGAGAATATGGTTATGCTGAAGAGAATACTACAGATTTGAGGGAGACAGAGGTGAGGAGAGGATAAGGGAAGAGGTTTAGTATACAAGACTCTAGAGATAAACATTGTATGTTAAGTGAACATCTCAAATGAAAAGGGACACTTGATAGAAAAAAAACAAGGCAAGTAAAAGGTGATCCCGATACAAGAAACAGAAAAATGAAGGCCTTAAAATTAACTTGCATTACCTGATCACTGTGGGATAAAGTTCTGATGTGTAGATATAGACAATATTAAATGCAGCACTGATTGTCAATTTTCCCAGCAAAGAAAGAGAACGACTGTTCACCACTGCAAACACTCCAGTATCTGAAAGAGAAAATGTAATTCAGTGTTCCAAAGCATTACGAAGATCACATCTCAGTAATCACTTCAATCACATAACAGTATGGAGCAAAACAATCTATTGACAAATCTGCTATGGCAGGCAAGCGTTTTTCTATTAAAGACCAGTATTTGTTGGAGGTGATTTGTACCTTCAGGAGAACTCTCAAAACTCAAGAGAATCCAAGGAGCCTTCTTTTAGGCAGCAGTGGCAGAAGTCATCCAACAAAATTTATATTCTGTGTCTACGGATTTATTTTCTTTATCTGTGCAATTAAATTTGTACAAAGAGGAAAAACTCTCCATAAAACACACCATGAAAAAGCAACTCAAAAAGCACATTTTAAACGAATTGTAGACTTGTTACTAGCCCAACATTATTTCCATTTTATCAAATAAGAGCCAACAGGAGAAAAATGGATTAAATGACAGAACAGTCCCAGAGACTGTGGTAGTGAACTATTGCTCAAGACCAGAAAAAAAAACTGAGAGGATTTTGTTGTTTCCTTGTCCTCAGTGTTATAATCAGAGACATCTCCGTAGAGTTAAAATCCTGCATGAAGACCCTATTAGAATGTCAAATTTTAGAAATGCAGGATAAAAATCCTATAGACATAACAAAAGCTGAAACAAAACAAAAAAGAAACAATAAAAAATCCCACACATTTTCTGGTCTACCATTACTAAACTACTATAATAGATCTTATGGCAAGTTGAAGAAAAAAATGACAGACGCTAAAAAAAAAAAAAAAGACACTGGCCACTTAATGTAACTAGTACCCTATTCAGTCATAGTTACATATGACACTATGATAACATACTTTCTAACATTATTACTTCAGAAGATTACTTTGGAAGAAAAAACAAGAGACAGGAAGATGCCACACAGAACCATACCAAATATCCCATCCAGCTCAGAGCTTTGTCAGAGTGCCTAATGATTATGAGCTTATACCTGGTACATCAGAAGACATTAAATGGCTAACAAGGAAGGCTATAGAATAAGCTGTTACTGCCTTGAACAAATTGTGCTTAGTAAGGAGAGTGGTGCTTGCTTCTGGCAAACTAAAACTGCTAAGCTTCTTGGACATTTTGTTCCTGTCTGACTAGCAATTCAGCACACAGGTGATTTCTCAAAATCCAGCAGTTCTATCCTCTTAAAAAATCTTTCTTTACACAAATTCTAAAGGGAGCTTGGATTGAAATGCAGAAACTACTCAATGATTGGCACCAGCCTAACAAGGGTATCTCTAATATCTTGGCTCTAGTATCTGGAATATTTCTGGGAACTTTAGTTGCACAATTCTCTAAAAATGTTTTACCTATTATATCCACTACCATCTACAGCTAGTTATTTATGTGGACAACAAGAGTATGTGCGTCTAATCTTTTAAAATCATGCTAATTTCACATATTAGAAACATTTTCACTCATTGTGACTGTTACACGTGTACAAATATTACAAGCTGAGATGAATTTATGTACCTCACATTCAAAGAAAAGCTGTTCACCGTACTATTGTGTTTCTACCATTTCAAAAAACATATGAAAACCAAGAAACGAACATTAGTTTCTTTAGAAAAAAATACATTGAATTTAAGAACTCTCGCTTCAAAAGATTTTCAGAATACTCTCTGAACTATATGTAACGTAGCTACATGACTAGAACCACAATCACACCCTTCTCAAACATTACAGAGCAGCGAGGAAAAGATGTGAACTCATCCCTTAATTTACTTCTTGGAATCTTTTGACGTTGGTCTTTCACTTGGAGTCATACAAGTTGCATGGGTACTGTTTATACTGACAGATTCATAGCTAATGAAGATATTCCAAGAAACATCATTCAGAAACACTGAACAGGAATGACTGATGTGATTAAAAGTGTAAGTCTGAATCCAAAAACAAGTTCAAATCCACACCTTTTCAACAAGAATTTCTTAACATCTTAGGAACGCTGCTGCTTATTCTGTGAGTTAGCTTCTCTGGATTTAAAACTGCAGACTCACATGTGGTATAAGCCTAATGCTCTGACAACAAACAAATTCTTAGGCTGCAGGATGAGGAGTTTTACAACTCCTTATAAAGTACTCCAGGAAAAAAAAGGAAACATTTACCTTTCTTTTTAGGAAGAAACATGACAATAAGACAAGCCAATCCTCCCAGGAACAGAAATGCACTCAACGTTCGCTTTCGACCAAACCTGATGTCCAAAAAGGGATATAACCAGTGAGTCCTCTAAATTCATGTTGTCTTTTCACTTGCAGCCAGAAATGCTGAATGCCATCTCCCACAAAAAAAATGAAAGACATTCTCTAGAGTACCATGAATCAGGAAAAGGCTAGGTATCAGACTCAACAGCTTTGCTCACAGATCCACACACAGAGCAGCTATTACATGGCACCACACAACAGTTTCAGCTGAGCTTAGGTACAACTTTGACCTAACAGTGAGAATGGGAATTACAAGACAAAGGTGAGAAGAATGCCATCTTGTGTTAGCACAGAGTCAGCACAGCTAGGTTTGACAGATCAGCCTCATCTTTGAACCAAATTTAGACAACTTGTTAACAATAAAACGAGCTGCTGAGAAAAAGTTAAACTGTTATTAAACTGTTACTAGATGTAAAGATCTATCAGTGGCACTTTCAAGTTAAAGAAAAAAAAAGATTTCTTAGGAGTATACACTGAAATACTAAAATTGAAGCATGAAGCCCCATACTATGGATATAGAATAGGGGAGACAATATGCCGGAAACATCTGTGAGAAAAAAAAAAAACACATTAATAGAATTTCATACTTACCATTTTTGGTTAATCAAGTAAATACAGATTGGGTATGCTGGGATTTCTATCAACCCTGAAAGGGCTAAATTGGCATAAATGCTTCCACCTAAGTCACCTACATTAAGGGTAAGACCATAGTAAACCAAGCTGCACACAAACCTGTAAAAGATAAAAGTAGTATCAGAGCTATATCTTTGACTGCCACGTCAAATTACTGGTCTGACACAATGCAGTATAAAATATATTTAGTATTTCAGATAATACGCCTTAAGTTTTTCTCTGCCTTCCTTTAATTTCTATACTCCAGTACACTTTTATTCATTCTCAAATTCTGATTTTTCATATTTCTTTTGTAACCCTGACTGGCTGACTTCTCTATGGAGATGAAAGGAACAGGTCACTAATTCATTCTGCAGGAAATCATCAAGGCGATCTTCTAACTCTCATTTATGGAGCAAAAAACGACTATTCTGAACTAAGAATTTAGAAAAGCAAAAAGAATATAGCACTACGCTGCCTGCTGTCAAAATAATGCCTTTTTTCTTAATACATCGTCCCCCAAGAATACACATTATAAAAGCAACTGTGTGAACAGCAACTCCAGAGGACTTGGATACCCTACCACACATTTACTTCAAAGTGGCAGCATAAAAAGCTCAGGGCTAGTAGAACTCCCCAAAACACAACAGGTACTTCTGGAGAGTTACATTTCTGGTAGCAAACAGCAGTAGTGTCATGGGTTCCTGCTGCAAGCCCTGGCAACAACTGGTAGCACTTTCTTTTAAGAAAATACACACACTCATTAGACACTGCTAGGCCTACAAAGTATTTTAAGTACCAGGTGAACATCATGATCAAGGTGCGTCCCAAGAGAATCCTGTATCGGAACAGATCCAAGAAACTGCCAGCCTCTCTGGGGCTTCTCTCTGCTGGGAGTTTTAATGAAAAAGTGTACTTCTGCTTGCGGTTCTTCTTTGCAATGAGGTAGAGGGCATCTTCTGCTTCATTCAGCCGGCCTTGCGAGTATAGCCAGCGGGGGGACTCTGGAATGAATCTGTAACACACAGTTTCTGATTTTAAAATACATGTATCATAAATACACACACATATAGATCAGATACAGCTTTAGGGCTTTTCTGTTCTACATTGTTAGGCTTGCCTATGGAAATAAGGCTGAAATATGTTTCAACATAACAGGTTTTTTTCAAACAGCCCTTTAGGTATAGAATTCACTTACTGAAACAGACAAAACACGTAGAAAGGAGAGGGAACATGATTCATATGTAATTTAGATAGTGAAAAATTACATATATATGTATACACACATACATACACAATACTATAAATTGTAATATCATTAGGGTTCATTCTAGTGAAATTATAAATTAGAGGCACCATATAACTAAAAGTAAGATTTTTTTGCAACACTGACTAGTTATCTCCTGTTCCTCATGTTTTCAGCATTTCCCCAAATTTTCTCCCATAAAGAGCAAGGCAGCAGCTGTACAAAGACCAGACTTTTGTTCCCATACACAGTGTTTAACTGATAAGTCTATAACTCCAACACAGCCTACAAAACAAATCTCATACCACTTTCAGATTCCCAGAACTAACTTAAACTTCAACCTTTTGCCAGAACTTCAAAGATTCTCTCTGACCAGAAGTGAGATCATTAATTTAAAAGCACAGAATCACCTTTTTTTTTTTTTTTTTTTAAATGGTTTAGAAATGAACATGTTTTCTTTCCCATGATAAAAGTCTGGTAATAGTTCCTACAAAGAATCATTTTAAAGCAATGTGGGTGGGAAGCAGTATAAAATTTGGAATGAAAAAATCTGAAACAGCTCTGAAGTCCCATACATACAGCACTTCAAAAAAAATCAAACATATTATGCAACAGTTAAAATACAAGTTAAAAGGCCTGAAATGCCACTGTTTTAAGTTTTGAAGTATTGGAAATGTCAAGTCTGCCTTTCACCTTACAACCTTCAAGACCTCTCCCTGAGTCCCTGCATCCTTTGAAAGGACATTTTGATTGTTTAACAAAAAACTAGTTACTAATGTTACAGATGTTGGAAGGAAAGAAACAAGTTTAAACAGAAGCTAAAATTCACTTATTCCCTCAGTTACTAAGTTTTTACTGTCAGAAAATATATGAGAAAGATCACATTGCATCATACCTTCCAGCGTTGAAATCTACAAACAAAAAGCCCAACTACCTTAAGAAGCCTTCTTCTTCTTTACTAATCACAATATTAAAAAAGTAAAAGGAAGCTGCCCGTTGTTTTACATGTCACCTTTGAGACTGTATGTGCAAGCAATTTTGATGCTCTTCCTTCCATGTAAGCAGAATTATAAAAGAAATATCATGTTATTACATAAGCATATTAATGTTTCTGTATCATTTAGAATGTATATACAGCATCTTGTAGCACACCGGACAACAGTTTAAAGCATCTACACATACCAGTGAAAGACCAGGATGTTCTTCTATACTACTCAAGACTGTTCCCATCTACAGTAATAATGCACAGACAATGCAACATATGCTTAGGTTTTCAGATATTGCAGCACTGCAATTTAAAGTAAGCACAGAACATAGGGTGGTAGAGGTTGAGAGAAATACCTTAGTTACAGCACTTCATACCATCCTAGAAAAGCTCCTTGACTTAATTGTATTTTCTCTCATTTTTGACATCTTCCTTGAAGGACTTCAGTTTGAAAAATAACTTACAGAGAGAGAAGAAAGACTACTGTTCCTTCCAGGTTAACCACAACAGCCAGAGTCCTCCAGGATCGAATGAAGTACCCTAATAAAGCATACTGGGCAATTCCCACAGCAAAGAACAGGCCACCAATAGATCCTAACATAAAATAAAAGAAACAAGAACAAAACACCATTATCATTCCTTTAAGGAACACTGCTAACTCCCAACATGTGGGATCATACATAAACTAACAATTCATTAAAAAAATTCACTCAGCAATACAGGCAAATACACAGCTATTTGACTGAAGAATGTTCTGTCCTTCACCCACATGGAGTAGACGCATTACACCTAATCACAAAGATCAAGTCAAGTCCAAGAAACACCCTTCTACAGCCTCCTCACCCAAATCCCGGTAAATAATTAAGTTTTGTAATTCTATATGTAAATGTGTTTATGTATATGTAAATTTTTCTATGTGTAAAAAATACTACAGACCACTGGAAAATGTTATTTTTTGGAATATACAGTATTCATTTGTAGCTCTCATGATTTGCAAGATAATCTCTTTTAAAACAGTCACTGATCTCTCATCAGAACACTTCTTTGCCCCTTATCAGGGACTTGGCAAGTCATGCCAAGAAGAAAGACTGTACCTAAACAGTACAGTATATAGTCATCATATCTGAAGTACAGCTTCAATGCTAGTAGCCAGGACAGTTAAAGGCATCTGTATCATTTGATCAAAGGTTGATTACCACATGGGACGACTCATTTTTGAGTGCTAACAATAGTTGTCTCATCTTCCCATTATACAAGAAGTTTTTTTTATTTATTTTTGAGAAAAGCCTTAGACAGTTTGGGTGATGCAGAAATATAAATGGCCAAGTTATCTACTGTGCTTGTGTATAGTTCATATTAAACAAAGGAAGGCTTAAAGATTGGTGTTACACAAATGCTTAAGTGAGTAGAATTAACTTGGCAAATGCTAGTGAGCTTTGGGATTTCTCAAGTGGTGTGCACGATAAATCTAAAAATTCTGAAAATAGACATTGACACTCAAATTTTACCTGCTAACGCCCAGTATGCAGTACCCACACACTCATTCAGAAGAACAAAGGCCACCAGCGACATCCCGCCATTCATCACCCCTACCAAGAATCGGGAAATGGCAAAGAATTCATATGAGGGTGAGAATCCATTTGCAATGGCAAACAAGATGTCAAGGGCAAAACCTGAAAAACAATGCAAAAGGTTTAATTTCAGAAGAGCATCTAACGTAAAACAGAAGCAATTATTAGCATCTTTACTTGATTTTCAGTGACATATGTTTTAAGTAATCCCATTCAACAACTAAAAAACACTGCTACATGCCACAAGTTCAGGCAAAAAGTACCCAAAGTCAGTATCATAACAGGGGAACATTCGGATTAGTATTTGATACATGATTTGCAGTACTACACTTTGAACTTCAGTTCATGGAAGATTTTTTTTTTTTTTCAAATACTCAGAACTACTGCAGGGCTCCAGTTAAAATGGCTTCATATTTCTCCCCATACAAGAGTCACAGACTAAACATATGACAAAATACCTCCTCTCATACTTGGAAAGCACTCTGTAAAGGCTAGAGATGAGAAGCTTAATCAGAGGACAGTGTATTGGAAGTTTGCACTGCGTAGCAGGCTCATCTTTGTCTGCTTTGAACGAATTAGGTTGCTTCTTTGAAAAAAAGCCACTGGTTTTAATTCTACATACTCATCCATGGACAAGTAAGTTTATAAACACACACACAAAACATGAAGTTCCAAATGCTGTTTTGATCTGGGGACAGTAACAAAACCAAAAACTTACAAAGTTTAAAGTGATGAACCCAAATACGAGAAAATTAAATTATGCAGACGAGAGATGAAAGGTGAAAAAAATCACAGCAGGTTACACATGAAAGAACATTGCTAACAAATTAACAGGAATATTAATTGCAACATGAGGAGATCCCACGAGCATGACAACCACTGCATATACTCAGTTCTTAAATGTAAGCTCTAATGGTACACTTCCTAAACCCAGAACATCTCCCAAATGCTCAGATGCTGACTGAACAGTCAAATATTGATTTCTTGTCCCTGGAAATACACTGGGTAGGACAGTATAATCAAGTGTACTGGAAGGACAAAAAATCACAGCATGTAACTCACTGCTGTGTATCAAGCTCTCAGCAGAAGCTAGGCTCTTGCCACTCATCTTCAGAAACAGGACAACTTCACATCACCCATTTTGTTAGGTTACCTGTGAAACAGACCATTACTGGTTACCTGTGAGATAGACCTTCTTCCTTCCAAACCGGTCTGAGAGCTGGCCAAAGGAAATTGCTCCAACAAACACACCACTGAAGTAGAAAGAACTGGCAGCGCTGACTTTGTACGATGTGTTGCCAATTAAAAACCACTGGATGGAGACAAAAAAGGAAAATTAACCAGAGTAAAACTGGTTCTGCAATAGTTGGAGGGGGATGACATACTTTCAGGATGATAAAACCTTTCTTAAGTCCCCTAAGCATCTCATTCAATCAGTCATCAGTCACTGAAACAAATGCTGCCTTCCAGACTCTGGATGGGAAGAAACCAAATGTATAGTTCCCCCAAATCAAGTACAGTCTTTCGTTCTGAACTCAAGAATAAGTCCCTCGTGGGATATTGTAATTTTGCAGCCTTCTTCCCTCTCTCTCCCTTTTATTGCCTTTTCTCATATAAATCTCTTAAGTAAAATCATTCCTACCTCCTGATATATATTGCTGAAATGTGTAGGCACACCGTGCAATATAAAGCATTGTCATTTACATCCAGAAATAATCTTCTCTTCCTTATGAACTGTCTCATCACTGCAAAACACTTCGGTAGTTTTAGACAAGTTTTGTGGCATTGCTTTTTTTTTTTTTTTTTTTTTTTTTTAAAACAGTCCACTTTCTGTAACTTCTGTAACTTCCAGATCTTTTCTATTCTGAACACACACCTGAACCTCATATGATCTTATAGACTTCAGTGTCTCAAAAAACCCTCCTCTTTCAGGTTGAACCTTTCTCCCATAAAAACCTAGAATTAAATTATGCTATGTTCTCACTGTTTAAAAACTATTGCATTTTTTATTCTAAAAACTTGTATTTTGTATTATTTTATCTTGTATCTTGTATTATTTTGTCTTGTCTATTATTTTATCTTGTATCTTGTATTATTTTTCTACTCCTCTTGAATCTCAAAATAATAGTTCCTTTCAGTGACACCCAACTTTTCTTCTTGTGCTGGTAAACTGGTGATGATTTCATTATCCCTGCAATAATACTATTCCTCTCTTTAGTACCTTTTCCAATACCAAAGCCCCATTAGATACCCTACCTAGCTATGCTTATAGTATTTCACATCTCAGTTACAAACTACCTCACCAAGATCAGGGAGCTAACAAAATCATTCAGAAGCTCCAAGAACATAATAGAACATAATTTGCTTACTCTCAGTATGTGCTTCATTCTGAATTGTCATTTAAGTGGTGACATATTTACTGACAGTTAGTAATAGGGTGTCCAGATTCTGATAAAAATCTCTTCTAAAGCAAGCCTTGTGACCACAAATCAACTCCTCGAAGTTTAAAAAATCCAGGAAAATTTATTATAACAGCACATTAGATTAATTTTAACTTGAAATAACACAGTTAAGTTCATAAGAGCTAAAGAATCATTCTCTAATTTTGGTATAAATGTTAAAAAACAGCCAACACTAGATACTATGTCAATAGATTCTTTCTGAACTGTTCAGAGATCAAGGCAAAATTTGCTTGTGGCAAAGCAAGGTTTGTTCTGCAAGTTAATCACAGTGACTAAGAAGCCCTTTAAAGGACTTGAGGCCTCTCTCCTGAAAAAAAAAGGAATACTATGCATCTTTTTACATCAAAATATTTTTCAGAGCACTTCTGCAACAGTCAAGTTATTACTAAGCGATTCCACAAAGTAAGCATTAAAAATATCTTCCCCAAATGCAGAAAAAACTTCTCTATACATTAGTATAGAAACCGCTTAGCAATCAGAAATCCCCAAAATAATATCAGACCATTTTGGAAAAAATACTCCAAGAACTTCATAGTTAACTCAGTTTTCAAATGTACCATGCATACAGTTAAATTTCTGAACAAATTGTATCTTAGTTATGGAATACAGGAGAGGCAACAGGATTTTTATATGCATGGGCCTTTACTGAAAAGTTCAGATTCTGCTTTGAAGTTCTTTAACGTACCAGATATCATGAGATATTTCTTAATTTTGTATTTTTTCGAGTAAACTTTGTTCTTTACCTGCATTTCTTACCTGTGCAACTAAAACGTTTAAGTATCTTCACAAAATTTATATCCTAAGCCACTGCTAGGCTCCATGAACATGTCTCACGTGTCAAGTTTAAGAGAATAAACAATTCTTGGAGAAAGTAAAAGCAAACCAGGAAAAGCCCAGAAAAGATTTTAAAACCTTTTTGACAATTAGCTTTAAGTTATGCTTGAAGAAAAGCTACTGTCCATTAGGACTTTAATTTCTGTAGTGGCATTAGCACTCATACCCACTTCATTACCAGAATAAGAAGGCATGCCTGTTGTATACAATTGCTCGGTACTATTCCCAAACTGGCAGTTTTTATTAATATGCTCATAACCAATAACATTAAGTACTTTACAGGACTAATTCAAATAGTATTAATGCATTTGGTCAATAGCCATGAATTATCAAGCAGTGCTCTGCTTGACTTAGTTGTATAGTGCTAAATTCAGGTCTCATAACATCTGCAGACAGATGGGGCTCCTGCACAGAAGAATGGCATTAATAAATACTCAAGGCCGCAGGAATGGCAAGTGTTGAACACAACAGCGTGGAAGCTGCAATCGTTCCTTTAAAGGCTGTGGCTAGACCATGAAAGAGGACACTTACAAAACAGGCCACACTGATAAAGCTAAAGCTTATTTTGGGATAGAACATATGCAATTGCTTTGTCCACCTTGCTCCCCACTGCTGATTTCCTCCCTCATACCTGGAGCAGCAAAGGAACAGTAGTTTCTTCTCCAGTTTCTTTACTGCTTGCTAATTGCATGATGGATGCATTTTATTTCTTACCATGGAAATTGCAGAATGTGGCCAGAAAGAGCTCGAGATACACACAGGATTTTGAACATATTAGTGCAATTATGTGATTACAGCTCAACTGTGGAACCAGGCTACAAGACCCAAGATGCATCTCCCGTGTGGAGAAGGCGGGTACTTTTGGAGCAGAGTGTTGGTCAAGATCTGCATTGCAAAACAAAGGTAGCTTTTGTTGCCAGTAAGGATATGAATAAGTTACCTGTTCTCTACCTGGAGGTAGCACCTGTTTCATTTGCTAATCAAAACATGCACTAGTAGGGAAGAGAGAAGCAGCAGTGCCGCCAGCTTGCCCCATACCCCCCCAGTGCCCTTTAATACTTACACACGAGGCAGCAAAACACCTTCCAGACTTACCTCAGAAACTATTGACGTGAAGCTGCCACTGAAGTGTACGTGCTTGTGAACCTCGCTGCCGTTGGCGGTCAGGAGCCATTCCCCAAAGGCCCTCTGCTCGCTCGCCGACTGGTTGCCATGGCTCTGGTTAGCCGAGAGCTCTTCGAGGTCCCAGTGGTAAGGAGGAGTTGCCCCCACCAGTGCAATGAGGATGGCTTCGGTGGCCACATAGAGCTGAAGTGAAAGACAAGAAAAACACAGATGCTAAGCGTACACCCAAGCAATGCTTCCTTTGCAGGTGGATCAAAACAGTATCCAAAGAAAATATGAAATAGGACTCTTTCTACCCCTTTTACCAAAATTGTTTTTTCCTGTGAATCTCTTTTACTATCAATAAAGACACATGCAAATATATAGATATATATTTAATATATATTACACATCCACACAAGGCCTACGTTCAGAAATTAACAGCTGGCTTTGTTTAGGGAAAATATAAATAAAACTGCTGGAAACCCGGATGTTTTAAACCTGGCATGGAGTAGGGTCACTGGTTCTTGCCCAGAAAAGCATTCACAGGCCACTGCTTTAACAGTCTAGAACATTACAACTTCACCTTAAACCCCAGTGTTTTAGACCTCTTTGAACACAGAGGTACCATGAGTTTTGCCACAAAAAACTCATGGTAAAAAATCTAAGAGACAAAAGGAGTTGATGACAACAAATCAAAGACCTCTGCCAATTCCCCAAACAAAGCCGCCTCTTGTCTCATGCCCTTAATAACTCATCACTGTAGTTCCTGACAAAAAAAGGATCTTGTTGCTTCTCCTGACGATTACCTTCTTCCTGAAAGAAATCTTTGCTGCCTCCCCAGTCCCTCAAACCCCATTTCAGCCACCTCCTGAATGCAGTCCTGGCTCTGCTACCAGCACCTCCTCAGTGTGTTCTTGGAAAGAGCATGCCTCTTGGAAGTGTAGCCTCTCACAAGGCTGCTACACAAATAATACTCAGAACTGGAGAGAATGTAGATAGGATCAATAAATATTCAAAAACTGAGTTATTACACAAGTATTTTCCTTCCATCAGCTCCTTTGTGTTCCACATGACAAACTGCTGCTGCAGTGCTAGGAGGTGAATGCTTCAAAAGTTCATTCTCTTTCCTTTTTAAGGATAAAAATAAGTGGAAATCAAAAGGAATTTGGAAGAAAAAGCCACAATCTGTCAACCATATTATTAAAACTAAAGAACAACTTCTAAACAGATGATGAAAAGTGAAAGACCTCATCTGAGAAAGAAGGCAATTACTAACATTACATGAGGAAGGTGGAGTGAAAGAGCTGAGTGGGTATGTTGCTAGGGATGTGTGGATACAGTACTCTCAAGTCCTCAGGAAGAGTCTGAAATCACTGAGAAATTAGAATTACAGGTCATGATCTGTGGTGCATCCCTGCATTCTGACTCACGCAGACAATTCCATGTCAGGACTGAGCGGTAACATCCTTGTTTTTGTCTTCTGAAATAATAAACATTTTTGAAGTAGTTCAGGAAATGAAATCTTCCAGGCATTTGGTTTAGGGAAAGAAAGCTGAACACTTTTCATTTTTGCTCCAAGTGAAGCCCACCCCAGCTACAGAAGAATAAATTGAAAAATAAATGATTGCAGGCACACAAAGAAACATCATATTTTTTTAATAAAAAGTCAGCCTTAAGCATCCTAGCAGCTGCAGCAAGCAAGGAAAGAATAATAGAAACACTTTCAATTAATATGCTGAATCAGAAAAAATATTCGAAGATGGTGACATGCTTTGATATTATCAAACACTATTTTTTTCTATATTCATGTTCAATGAAGTCACTGCTGTGAAGACTGATTTTTCAGATCATTTGCCTTTTACTTTGGCTAACAGGTATAGTAAATCCTCTTAATTATGTTGCAAAGCAGAAAAAAAAAAACAAACACAACCCAGTTTATTTACAATTCAAAAGACCAGAAACATTTTCTAGAAGTAGTATTAAGGACATGACCAAGCAAACTCAAAGCTTACAAAGAACAATAAATATTGAAGCTTACAAAGAACAATAATACAATAACAAAATATTACATTTTTATATTAAATATATAACAAAAGAACAATAATACAAGAACAAAAATACAATTTTAACACTGAAAAAAAGGTAGGTTTTTTTTTTTTTGTATGTTTGTTTTAAATGAATCTGGGGGTTCTCCTCTTAAGAGCACTAAATGCTGGTGCTTAGCAGTAACACAGTTATTTAGACCAGGTGATGAATACATAATACCTTATTCTATTTTGATGGCATTTTATAACAACTTAAGGTGTAATGTGGTTACGTTATACTATGTGTACCATGGCAAATACATACTACAAGTCAAATTTATTTGTCATTTAATTAATACCTGCTATTGATATGCCGTATTAATTAGCTGTACGTGGATGCTAACAGCTCCCCACAGACTTCCAGGCACTGATCTGCATTAATCAAGACAAACACCAAGCACAAGGGGAAGAGGCAGCGGCACATAGTCACAGATGAGAAAGAGTGAAGTTCTGTTAGTTTCAAGTTTCTTCTGTTCAGTTTCTATTCTTTGTAGGTTAAAACTTAGTGTCTGTGTAGATTAGAAATCCGTGATGTATAGAGGTTTACTAAAAGACAACATAATAATCTGTAAGTTTTTGCTTTCTTTGCTACTTTGACTTTCTTGGCTAAGTAAAGGGAATTTAAGTCAATCATTTACTGCTACTTCATTAACAGTTTAACTTAAAATTTTAAAATTAATATTAATAGAGTTGCCTGCAACTTCTTGACTAGCTTTCTCAATGGTCATTTTCCTAATAAATGACTTTGAAGAAAAAAAGTAGAATCTCTAATACAACTAGCATAGGGGCAGAAAGAAAGAGCTTACACAGTTTCATTCATGATGAACACAAAATATCATTTAAAACTTAAATCTAATTTACCCATGGAACAAAAGCAAGACTTAAATTCGACTATAATATTTGAAAGCACTTCTTAATCAGCTCACCAGCTATTCACAACCAGGCTAGACATTTTACATAAGGATCAGCTGAAGCATTCGCTGCTGAACAAAACAACGAGCAAGCCACTAGCTTCTGACATTTCAAATACAGAAACGTTAAAACTACACCTTAAGGGGAAGGCAGAAATTTAGAAGGAATAATGAATGACCTTGATCTGGTAAAAGCCTATGATGAAGAAATTTACATTTTGGGGTTAAAGTCATTTCTCCTGAACACAGTACAAGAAGATGAAAAGCTGGAGGGCCACCTTATTTTTGAAAGCCTGATGAACTCATCTGCTTTGAGTTATTCCAAAAATTGCAATTTGCCTTTAAATTCATGTGTTTTGTTTTGTTTTGTTTTTTCCCCCAGATAACCTTTTTTTTTTTTGTGTGTGTGTGTAGAAGAACCCTAAAAGCATCTTCCTGTTGCAATGTTATTATCTTATGCTGACAACATGCTCTTCTATCAAAATACCTTTCTTCATTTGGTAGCAGAGTAAGAGAAAAAGTAGCACACTACAAGGAAATGTCCTGTTGTATTTACAAAATGAAGAAGAGCCATGTGCAGAAGAACACAATGTAATCTTTCAGACACTTAACAACTCCAAATCCACTCTGATAAGAAACACTCCTCATGAAAAACGTAACCAAAAAAAATTTACCTTCAGTGACAGGTTGCTATTACAACCTGCAAGCTAGATTTCCCCATAGGACTACAGATACACAGATGACAAGTTTTCTGGTAAAGGGTCATCTGTCAGTCCTGTACTGTACCAAAATCTTGCAAGACAATTACCTACAAGATTTACTCAGGGACAGATGAAACAGCTTATAGGATTTGAAAGACCTCTATAGACTCCCTGACTGGGCCACACCACTCCCTTGAATAAACTAACATCTCGAACGCTACCTACTAAAGGAAATGAAAGATGACCATAAATATATATATATATTTTTTTTCCAGAAACAGTGTAAGAAGTACAGGCAATAAACATAATACTAAGAAGACCTGGAATTTTTTGGAAACCTAGGTGGGAAAACTGAGTGCTACAGGGCTTCTGATGTGTTATAAAGGAAGTACACCAAGCAGAAAAAAAAAAGACTCAGTCTTGCCCTGTAAAGCTTCAAGCTCAGTGTCAGGAGGTTTGCCAGATCTCTGAACCACACAGCAGTTGAATGCACACTGGCAGGCCAAAAACAAGAGGCCAGAACTGCTTTCAGAACAGTTTGAGGCAGCATAGCCTAAAGCATTTGCATTTTCACAGCATGCTGGATGACGTACAACACTACAAAGGCAAGCATACCTATCTAGCGTGGGCTCATATGCTGCAGCTCAGAGGGCTGGCACAGGACTCGCCACTGCTCTGACTGGATCCCTCTGCAAAGGAAATAGAGCAAACCTTGCGTCATAGGTTGACAGGTCTCTGAACACGAAGGAGGAAAGTGTAGTATCAAAGTGCTATTTTTCTGCCTTTAAAAACAGAAGGCAGGAAGAAAGCTTTTGTGCCTTGTTAGAATATCCACATAAAACCCTGCAGTTCTCTAAACATTCACACATGGCTAAGATAGAGAACCAAGCTGCAAAACAAGAACTGGTGATCAAAATTACGCAGAGCACTATAAACACTCCTGCGTCTTCCTATTTGGGCAGAAGTAAAGTTAAATTGTATTAGTGTCTTAGAGGCAAAAAGGTGGCAGAGGTTCCTAGTCCAGGTTAGGAATTGACTACGTACCAGCCCAGGACTGAACTGTCTCAGTGACACAACGGGATTACATGAAGGATAAATCAGCAACTGCTGGTAAAGAGGCAGGACTTGTAAACTGGCAGGTGTCAGAGCTTAGCCCCGCTTCCACAAGCGAGATCATTCTTCCATCTGCACTTCATCTTGGTCCTTCTTTCTCTCCTGATCTCCCAGCCTGCTTTGGCAATCAACACATCTGAGTCAGGGCCAGCATCAGAAGAGATCAAGGCTCTCACCTTTCTCAGCACACTGGTTTGGGGCACTGCCAAAGCACGGGTGAGCATCTTGGTCTCACAAACAGAGCACTTTAAGGCTATGCAAAGAGCACATCCTTGGCTGTGCCTGGACCTCCTCTTTACCAAACGACTAAAGCACTTAACTCTGTAAAAAGATGCAATTAAAAGCATACGCTGATCATTTCAGAAGTTTCTGCTATTTAAGGATTCAGATTA